ATCCAACCCTTTCCACTCTGTCTCTTTCTAATCATACTATCTGTCTTAGTTGTTAAATGCCATCTAAACAACATAATTAATGTCTACTTATGATATTACAAAAACTCACTCTAAAAATTGTTTCATCCATTGTTACATATTTACCCAACACAACTCTGAAATACTTACATGTTTCCAGCATCACATATTCCACACACTATGAAAGAACATCTCCATATTTTCTCTCATTTTAAATCCCACTGTTACTTCGAACAATAGTAAACCTGCAGAGCACACCAATCGGATCACAGTAATGACATTTACTTTCTGCAAACAGTTCGGGTGTAAAATGTGTTTTTCACAATGTATTTACACTCTACAGATTCTTGAGTTTACTCATCTCCTGGTGCTGTAGTTGTAAAAAATGTTCAATTCCTTATTGTTTTGTACCAGTTGTCCAAAATCAGTTCTAATTAATATACTGGGCTATTGTCGTTGTTTCTATTAACGTGCTTCCCGTCTTCAATACCGGCCAGCAATGTAATGACTAAACTCTAAGCTCGAAAAATGTCAAGGGTGTGATACCCCCTTTCAGCCGCTTGATGGCAGCAGAAGTTTCAAGGGTGTGATACCCCCTTTCAGCCACTAGATGGCAGCAGCAGAAGTTTACAGACAAAGGGAAACGCTCTCCCTCGATTTAACATATAACAGAGCTCTGGCTTTTAGCTTTCAGCCTTGGTCTGTTATTTAACCCCAGTTATAAACGGCGACCCGATCTAAAATATCGTGTTTCCAGGTTTTTGTCGTGCAGGAATCAAACCTCGCAACCCACAAAACTGCACCGTCTCCACGCCACTCAGGAATAAACTACCTGCAGATCCGCGCCAAACTGCTCTATTTTACGTCACGCAGGACTTTCCGTCTACCTGGCGATCAACGTTTACGTTTTGTATATAACTTTCCTAACATAGTAAAATATGCATTGTATATTCCATTTAAACTTTAAAAACACTGTGAAACGCCTACAGACAATCCTAAAGTTTTAGTGTATCCAATTACAGACAGTCGAATTTCATAACAGGCGTCTGCGTACCTTATTTGCAGAGTTGCAGGGTCCTGCCGATTGTCTGAGATGTTTGAAAGCGTCTGAATTCTTCCTCAGCTTCGTTATATCACGTCGGGGTCACCATTTGTTAGAGATTTGGAGGGCAAACTGGCCCGCTTTTCAAATCTCCGCGCGTCCCTATCAAGCTGGTTATAATACAGGAAGGAATCCATATCTACAAAGTAACCGTTAACAATAATCTACTTTAATGGCAATATGACAATGCAATACAATCATTACAATACAACATAATATATTACAATTATATTGTAATGGTTAAGGAGTAATGCCGGCTCACTCCTGCCCTGGTTCCCGTGCTGCGGAGATCCTTTCGCTCGGGCAGCATGTGAAGAGAGAGCGAACGCCAGGGATCCACCGGATATATACCAGAGTAAGAAGGAGGGGTTAGGGGTTAGGTCAGCTGGTCATCTTTTCAGGTCATCTCATTGGGAGACGCAACGCTGGCCAGCAGGAAACCAAACAGGCTCACTTTACAACCAAAGGTCTCAAGGCCTGCATACCTACACCTCCCCCACAGAGCAATAAAACCCTGTTTACTCCAAACAGCCCAGAATGTTTATAGCCATTTTTAGTCCTTACATTTATGAAAGGACAAAACAGAGAAATCAATATAAAACACAGACACAGGTATTGTTTGAACAGTATTCACTTAACTGCTACTATTGATAACCACCAGAGAAACCCAAGGGACCTCTCACAAACACTGTAGCTAGATCTAAGTTGACTGCAAATCAAGACATGCTCTCACCTTCCCCCATCTTCCTTTGTCCTCAAAACCACATGTCTACAGGCCCCAAATCCAGCTCACAGTTTTACCCAAATTATTCCCATTTTAAGCTTATCCATAGTTTGCTAATATGAATACATACAAATATTCCACTACAAGACCTACAGCCTGTACTGCAGTGGGTTGAGGCGCAGCAGTGGGAGGAAGTGGCAGTGTTCTCCAAAGAAACCAAGGGGCTGTGGTCTCAGTTTGAGGCTCTGCGTCGGTGTCAGGGCGTACTACAGCGTGCGTGGAAGGAGCCAGCAATGGGGGAGAAGAGATGGCAGGTGGTGGTCCCGAAGGGTCTGCAAGAGGCTGTACTCAAGGCCATGCATGGAACGGCAGGCTCAGGGCACTTTGGCGTCACTAAGACTCTCTGCCGCCATTGCCAGGGCTGCTACTGGGGGCAGTGCCGGAGGGATGTCGAAGACTTCTGTCGCCGCTGTGACCCTTGTATAGCTCGTAAGGGCCCCCCTGGTCGTTCCCATGCTCCGCTGCAACAGTTTCCCGTGGGGGTCCCAATGGAGAGAGTATCAGTTGATTTGGTGGGGCCGCTACCTCTATCAAACAGCGGTAACTGCTACGTCCTCACCGACATAGACTATTTCACAAAATGGCCAGAGGCGTAAACCCTCCCTGATCAGGAAGCAATGACAGTCGCAGATGCCCTGGTGGCGGGCATGTTCAGCCGGTTTGGAGTGCCGGAGATCCTGCATAGTGACCAGGGGAGAAACTTCGAGTCCCGGGTGTTCGCCTCCATGTGCACACAACAGGGCATGCACCTCCCTCTTGCGGCCTCAGAGCGACGGACTAGTCGAGAGATTCCATCGCACCATGGGCCAGCAGCTGGCCATCCTCACGTCTCAGCACCAGCGTGACTGGGACGAGCATCTGCCCCTTGTGCTCATGGCATGTCGCTCTGCAGTCCAGGAGTCCTCAGCCTGTTCTCCTGCCCTCCTCATGTTAGAGAGAGAGCTCCGCACCCCTGCCGTTTTGGCGTTTGGTCAGCCATCGGATTCCCTGGACACTCTTCCAGGGCCTGAGTACGCCAGGAGACTTCAGGACCGCCTTGATTCCGCTCACGCCTTTGCCCGCAATCAGCAGAAAAGTGCTGGTGTGTGAGACAGAAACGGAACTATAATACCAGGACAAGAGGGCAGCACTTCCAGGCCGGGGAGCTGGTCTGGGTCTACAGCCCGCAACGGAAAAAATGCCAGTGCCCAAAACTTGACAGCCAGTGGGTTGGTCCCTGCAGAGTACTGGAGAGGGTGGGGGGAGTTGTCTACAGGGTGCAGCTGCCTTCCAAGGGGAGAAAAGTTGTGCTCCACAGAGACAGGTTGGCCCTGTATAGAGGAGTCGCTTCTCCACATGCCCAAGGGACACCCCCACCCAGGTCCCCCGGCGAGCGGAGCAGCGGCCCCCCGTCAGTGACTGAGTCCCCCCCCACTTTCTTTCCCTTTTCCCCGCCTGGACCAGAACCGGCACCCCCTGTCCCCCTGCCGAGAAGGCAGACACAACCCCCGAGTCGGTTCAGAGACTTTGTGTGATAGTTTAAGTTAGTAGTGAGACCCCTCGGTTCCTGTAGAGGGCAAGAATGTGCCCCGGTCTCACTGGAAGGGATGGTAGTCCACCCAGACCTTCCTAGTTCAACAAAAAAAAAATGTGTAGCACGTTCTCGCTGCTGTGGGTTTGTGTTTAGTTGTTTTTTTTTGTTCTAGGTTTTATTTGTTCCTCGTGGGCGAGGAACTTTGTAGTAGGGGGGTAGTGTAGCGACCCTGTATAGGGTGCTGAGTGTGTCACTCAAGCATCCCCCGTCTCTCTGCCAATCACAGAGCTGCACAGTGATGCTGGTCGGTGTGCGGGCCTGTGGTTGGGGGAGCAGAGGGGGGAGGGTGGGGAAGTTGTGACGTTGACCCTGCTGATATGTGTGAGTTAGTGAGTGCAGTACGGAGTGATGATGAACCTGCAACCTGTAACCTGTGACTGTATGCGATCAAAGGAGTTATTAAACCCCAATAACTTGAAGCCTGTTTCCGACTCCCTTTGTCGAACGTTACATATCACTCAGTATAACAGGCCTACATTACTCTCTTTATTTGTATGCTTTAGTTTAGTAGATATCTACAAACATAGTCGATATTTTTCTAAAACCATTTAGTGCTTCACATAATAAAATACACAACGTGTGTGTGTGTGTGTGTGTGTGCGTGTGCGTATGCGGCTGACAGACAGGTCTCAGTTGGTTTGGTGTCCAATTATTGGTCCCCTTAATAATTGTTTGGCCCGTAATTTCATTTCCCCATTGTAGCGACCAGAGAGGGGGGGTATATCCAGTCTCTGATAGTGTTACGTTTTTATGAGAGTGCTCTCATACTTGTTTGAATCTGAAATTGTATATATTTATATAATTATATATATGTGTGTGTGTGTATATGTCCGCATCTGTAGCCTGTTATTGTCTCATTATACTGCACTGTGAATAAATTAAAAGTAAATATATAAGTCATCATGAACACAGTTCTGCCCATCAGACAGTGCTGCTGTGCCTCCGGTCATCATTAATGGACGTCTCTTTAAAATGACTGCTCACAGGAGAGGATTTCTAATTTCTCTAACCGCCTGCTGCTTCCACTCCTCTCTCCTCGGTTCCCCTCCCTGACTCCTCCGCTCGCATCTCCTGTGGGCGGGACAAAGACACGAGGATAGGAGTCGAGGAGGGGAATTAGAGAATTGAGAATCCTTCACAAAGTAAAGGTGTGTGTGTGTGTGTCCTTCAGTAGGAGATGAGCCTGTTTGTAATCCTGGCCAATTAGCAATCCCAGGATTGGGGTCAGGGACCAGTAGTAAAAAGTGCAGTGTGGACAGAAATGTTCCCTAAATACTCTTGCGTTGTGTTCTGTTAAAACCTTCTTACATACTCTACTTTACCTTGTTGCATAAACAGTGCATGTTATTACATTGTTAAAGGTCATTTAATTTTGCTGACCCTCAACATTAGGATAGTGATATTTCTATGATGTAATTCAAAAGTAATTTATTTTGGTTTCTAGGCAAGTTCCAGGAAAAAGTGAGAAAAGTAATTTACGGAAATAAATTCACAGTTATCTCGTAAAAATATATTTGCTTTATTTGTGTCATCAGTGTATATGTGAAGAGGCAAGCTTTACAATACTGACCAGCCAGTAATTCTACGTATATATGTTGTATGCGTATATCCACTGCATAAACTTGTATTTGATAAATGCACGCTAGTAAACGTAACTAAAAATATATATATTTTATTCATCTACATTTGGCTCTCTGCAATCAAGGTAAACAACACTAATTTGTAAATGGTAAGTGACTGGAAGGAGTGAACATGAAATGATCATTTTAAAATATATGTACAGTACAGTAGTTCAACTATATATCTATGTACTCATTTTCTAAAATGTGCATTCTGAACCCCTAAATGAATATCATATGTATGTACAATTTACAGTTTGTTTGAAAACAGCTCCAAACAAGATATACCATCTGCTGTGCCTTGGACTTTGCATTAAAGAATTGTATAATGTGTTACATATTATTGTACATGGGCATCATTTACAACACAGATTAACATACATCTTTTTTCAGTATTGCATAACTTCAAATAAACTCTGGAAAGAAATGTTTGTCCCACAGCAAACAAACAAGCATCCATAACCATATCTGCACCATCTGAACTAACAATAATCCTTAACATTTAAGGAAGCTGATACTATATGGGGATGAGTGGGTGATAACCTGAGATTCAAAAATCACCCTTGATCCATATCTTAGTCATGACTATTTCTGGGTTTTTTCCAAGAGTCTTCAATAAAAAAAATGTAAAGTGTTCCTTAAAGATAAACGTTGTTCCTTCTTTCGATTCAACCAGTTTGTCTGAAAAAATACTTCTACTATTTGCATTTACTCTAGTTTCCGTCTTTATTTCATGTTTTCCTGGTCAGTAAGACTGAAGTCAGCCATGAGAAGCTTTCCGACCTTTTAGCACATTGAGCAAGTCTTGGAGCCTTCACTGGGGTTTTGAGGAGCTGGTAGAAAAAGACATACAAAAGAAAATATTCAATATTTTTATAAATCAGCACATTGGTATAGGCTATCATCAACAGGTAATACAAAATGTTACACAATGGCACAAATATGAATACAATTGAAAACAAATCATTGCAAAGCTTCTAAAACATTTCACAGTTGTGCAATATCAAAACAATCACTGCACCTTTACTGGTCTCTTTAGCTGCCTTCTCGTCCTCTATGGCTTTGAGTGATGCCTCATACACCTCTTTTCTAGCATTCCACTCCTTCCTGTTATTCAGGATGCCGTCCAGCATGGGCTTGATTTGTGGGTGGAAGCGGTAAAACTCCTGAGAAGAAAGGGACAAATCACGCTTAAAAAAACAAATGCAAGGATAAGAAAAAGCACTAGGAGAAGGGGGTTATGATGAAAAAAAGGTTAACTGAACAGATGCAAATAATCAGACTGCAATACTAAACATTACCTTATAGACAAAAGTGCAGACAAAGTCAATGAAGCCACACTGCATCTTTGGAAGGTCTGCTGACTTGTTCCTGTCCATCATGGGCTGGTGGGAGGGACAGGCAGTGTTTGAGTCAAAAATATATCAATAACATAAAACAAATCTATAACTTCTTGTTACTAAACACACCTGCCTGACATCATCTCTTTCCTTCCTGGTTATTTTAAACATTCTTATGTTAAGTAGCCTAATAAGCACAAAGTCTGATACGGGAGAGTCATTTTAAATCAGTTTAATCAACATTTTTTATATGTGTCATTTATATTATAATTTATTTTAAATGTCTGTGTTTAGAACTTGTTATAAACCATAAGTAGCCTACACTCACTGATACTAACATATGCTTTCTCATATGCACATTTTCAACAAAGATGAAAATCATGACATATTTACGAAAACTATTTGTAAACTCACAATAGGTTGCTGCTCAAGGACTGTCCTCTCCAAGTCACCCTGCTCCCAAAACTCTGCTGCTACAGACAAGGCAACCTGAAAGAGACACACAAAAATAACACATTCACAAAAAACAAAAAATACTCAGCTAGACACTGATTTATGACATATTTTCTTCTTCTCACCCTGCTCTGTACCTCCCAAGGCTTGGCGATGGCTGACAAGTCACATGCGGTCATCATCATTGCCCTGAAAAAAAGATTTTTTAGAGGATCAGATATTTTTTAAAGGAACAAAGAACAACTTACATGCTCGTTGCACTCACATGACAATTTCTTTTCTGGTTGTTTCAAGGGACATGAAGTCGACCCACTTCTTTTCATCCTCGTATGTGTGGGAAAGATCCACAATCTTCTGAAACATTGTTCTTTTCCTGGCAAAGTAGGAGGAGAGGAGTCATTTTACCATTAATCATCATGTGTTTTTATGGTTTAAAAAAACAAGAAAGAGCGAGGTAATAATAAAGTAAAGTGAGACTATAAGAGATTCTGCTTACTTGAAATAAAGAGCCAGGTCAGTGGCAATGATGGCGATGTCTGTTAGATGAATCACATGCTCAACCTGGCGCCTGTTAAGGTTCTGGTAGATATTCAGTGACTGTGGATAGGATGAGACGGATGGGCGTCAGTTATAGACATTTCAATGATGTTCCAGTCTACTTCACCTCTCCTTTCTTACCTCGTCAGCCAAGAGAAACTTTCCCATCTCTAGATGGTGTCGTTCCAGGATGGAGGAGCCATGGAGTTTAGCCATAGGGTTGCCAGATCTGTTGGCATAGATAAATTCAAGATTAACAACAATATCATCAGTTTTAAAGGTGGGGTAGGTAATTTTGGAGAAACCAGCTCGAGTGCGCTAGAATTTGAAAATACACAACCGGAAAAAATCTGCCACTTCCTTACAAAGCCCCTCCTCCAACACACACGAACGCGCACATGACCAATGAGGGCACGAGATAAGTTTGTGCACAGATGGAAGGCTGACAGGCAGGTAGGCCATCCAGTTACTTTAGCCGGGCCGGCTCAGATGATTGGTCGTGCTTTTTACAGTGTTACGGCTTCCACAGATGACATTTTTTAATGATTTTTTTGGCATATCACTTAAAATATTCATAACTATCGGGATGTTAAGAGCATTCCATGGAATATAACAAAAAGTGTATCTCGAGCCGGTTTCTCAAACATTTACATATCAAAGGACTTTATGGGCCTTTTACAAACATTTTTCCCGAACTCTCAATGTTCTAATATACTTTTTATTTTCTTCTTTGTTCTATTAAAATTGTTTTATATTCAAATGTAGATTTTTCAAAATATGATAAAGTGTGTTTACTGTCAGCAAACCATGATATTAAGCAGTATTATGGGACTGAGACACATCAGTGTTACTATTGAACCTCTCTGATTATCTCTATTAGCAAAGTGTATTTATTTGTGTGTAAGAGAATAAGATAGACTTTTAATCCCTCGTGGGGAAATTGTTTCTCTGCATTTGACCCATCCTAGTGTTAGGAGCAGTGTGCTGCCATTTTGAACGGCGCCCGGGGAGCAGTGTGGGGAACGGTGCCTTACTCAGGGACACCTCGGTAGCACTTGGTCTTGCCGGGACTTGAACTGGTGACCTTCCAGTTGCCAAGCCAAGTCCCTATCGACTTCGCCACCACCGCCCAGATTAGAGAGTGTAGATTGTATTATTTTTCCACTAAGAAATGTAAAAAAATCAACAGCACTTACTTGACTTGGTACAAGTTGTTGGTCCCTCTGTGATCAAGATCATGGAGGAAGCCTGCCGTTATCATGGCCATCACCTCCAAGTCAGTGTAGTACCGCTTTAGCAATCCCGTCTGAACACACACAGAGAGGTCATAACAAAGAAAATCATAACATTTTGTAGATAGTTCACCTTATTTAGGCTTCCAGGCTTTAAAATTAACATAATAGTGCTTGCCGACATTTAAATACAGAAGAAAATTATATTAAAAAGCGCTACCGTTAAGAGTGTAAACATGGTCTGGCCCACATTGAAGCCGTGACGCCAGTTGTGGTAGGTGATTTTTCTGTAGCCTTTACTGAGCGAGTACATGAACCGAACCAGCGCCTGACGGAAGAGAACTGATGAGTCAAATGGTCTTTGTTTTTTATAATCAAGTTAAATAATATTATCTGTGTGCCAAAACCACCTCTTGAGGGACCTGGAACTTCTTGACAACCCCGACCTCATAGTACATCTGCACCCCGCACTTCACCAGCTCCATCTCTGTGCAGTTAAAATCCGAAAAGTGGAACTCGTAGATCTCAAACTTTTTTATGAGAGGAGGTAGGTCTTTTTTCTAAAAGGGAAATTAACATAACAAAGCAGAGTAAGATGAAACTGTGTACACAGCACATTCATAGCAGAATGTGAAGATAGTTATGCTTAAATATAGGAAAGGGACAATTTGGCTACTCTCCTAAAGATTAGGTTCTACTTAGGCACATTGTTAGACACTCAATTACAGACAAGTTACCAGGATATCCAGGAGCTCCTCCTCTTCACAGTCTCTGGGTTCACGGCCGTACACTTCTCTGGTGTTCTGAGATATATTAGAAAAAAAATGAAGGTTGTACTGCAAGTATGAATTGACTGAATAGCAAGCCCAACTACATAGGTAGTTATAGGATATCATAGTGAAAAGCAAATGTGGAAAACAGTAAAAAGAACTGACCAGGACATCCTGAATCTCATCATCCCGGCATTTGATGTGGTAGAGCACCATGTCTTGAGCAATGTCTTTCCTATTCTCCAGCTTGTTCATCTTGTCGTAAGTGTCCGGGTTTAAAACAGACCAGCCCAGGAACTGGGTCAAAGCCTGAGAAAATAGGGTTCGGGAAATGAGCAGAATGCACTGTGTAACTCACAGAGATTCATTGCTACACTTTTATTATCATTCCAAGAAGAGCTGTACTACAGTTTCTGATTTCACAGCATAGTGAGTGACTATATAATGCATGCAGTGTTAATATACCTCCATGAGCTGTTCATCCTGATCATCAAAAGGTTTTCCGTCTTTTCTGTTGTAAAAAGTGGCCACACCAACTATCTCTTCTTTTTTGTTGACGATCGGCAGCGAGAGGACATTTTTTATGGTCCAACCACTGCTGTCGAGTGGCTCAGTCTGAAATAATGCATCGACAAGCAAAAGCATGTGATACCCGATGAAAATCTCTAAACATACCTGACTGTTTTATTGCAAAGCCATCTTTTTTTACCTTCTAGCTAAACTTAGCTGTCTTAAGTCTCTTACTTGAAACTTGAACATCTCGTCAGCAGCTGTATTCATAATGTTACAAATCTGAAAAACAGAAATAAAACATATTGATCGAGGTGGAAGATGTGTGAATACATTCATTAGTTTTTACCTGATTTACTGGTTGTAGTAATGTAAAGAAACTCACAAAACCGCTCTCAGCAACATAAGTAGGCAGGCCGCTAATCAAGGCCCAATGATCTGGAGTCGGATTTCTGTGTGGCAGTAAGGCAAGAGGAAAGGTAAGCACATCTAACACAGATTTTAAAAAAACAATAATAATCAGACTAAAGGAAACAGTCAAATGATGACTTACGGTATTACTTTGATGTCTTCTTTTCCGTGTAGTATATAGTCAATGACTTTGTAGAAAATGATCTCCTGGAGGAAAAAATAAAACACAGACGTTATGTTTAAATGGAAAAAAAGACCAAGCAATGTATCTAATATTTTCACTGCCAAGCGAAGTTATACAATGGATTAGTGATGATAATGTAAGTCAAATTAGATAAAACATTGTACCCTGCCATCAGGAGTGACAGGACCAGAGTACGGGGCCTGCTCTCCCATCAACACAGGCCAGATATCAAAGAACTCCTGGAAGGAAACAGACATGAAATTGCAGAGAAAAATCAGCACCTCAGGTAGGGCTGTGCAATTAATCGTATTTTAATCGCGATTACGATTATGGTTTGCGACGATTAGGAAAACAGCATAATTGACAAAATACGATTATTTAGCTGGGTGCGCTTTCGCCCCTCCCTAAAAGCCCACTCGGCCACGTGGGAGTGACATGTGTTGTGAGTGTTCAGCGCAAGCGAAGATGTCAGAACAAGAGCAGCAACTAGTTAAAAAGAAGGGTCGCGGGGAGATTCCCAGTCGATCGCGAGATGTGTCTAAAAATAGAACAACAATATTCTGTTTTATCGTTAATGTCCTGTAACATAATGTTCCCGTGCCAGAATAATGCACTTGAACGCATCAAAGCTTTGTGATTGGCCGGCCTCACCCCATGTGTCTGGGCGTGGCTGGTGAGCAGTGCACTAGTTCGCTGACGTTGTCCGTGTCAACAGCATGGATGGTCAACAGGAGTGACAGTCCGCACACACACAAGACCGCAATTATGGCAGAAGCAAAAAAGCCCAAAATATATAATTTGCACTCCAAGTGGGAGGATCATTATTTTTGTATCTATTCCAATTCAAAGTCCATCTGTCTCATCTGCAATGCGAGCGTGGCTTTATCGAAGAAGGGTAATTTAGGAGCGGCATTTCAAAACAGTGCACAAACGCTACGAGACGGAATTCCCTCCTAATTCTGCCCTACGCTCCAAAAGGGGAGGGGCCTGAGAGCACAGCTAAATGCACAGCAGTCCATTTTCACCAGGCCCAACAACAAGAGCAAGGCTGCTACCAGAGCATCTTATCGTGTCAGTCACGTTCTTGAGAAACACATGAAGTCTTTCGAAGACGGCGAAGTTATGAAAGAAGCTTTCCTGGAGGCTGCGACGCGCTTTTGTGGGACAGTAAAAATAACAGCAGCATTTCAACAGGTTTTTGATATAATAAAAACTCAATTTAGATACCGTTATTAATCAGCTGTAAGTTTTAGTTTGTTTGAATTTATTCATGATAATTATTGTACAAAATGGTATAAGAATGCAAACATTAAGATCTGTTCTGTTTAAATTGATTATAGTCTATCAGTTCAGAAACTAGTGTTGCTTGCATCCTATTTTAAAAGGCATTTATTTTTATACTCTAATAAAATGCAACAAAAAATGGGTTTGATTCTATTAATGTTGTCTTTTTTATTGCACTGTTGCTGCAGCAGATTACTGTGTAGCTTCAGATCTGAGTTGTTTTATTAGTAAGCCTAATTTATACTTTTGTAGCAACACTATTTTTATATAATGGCAAAGAAAGGGTTCTTCAGAGTCTTTTCTTTTTTTCCTGTGTCATGTGGCAGCACTGCCACAAGTTCCTCTTCAGAGAGGGTCTTCAGTACAGGTGGCAATATTGTCACCTGCCTGCGCTCATCTCTGAAACCAGACCATGTAAACAGGCTGGTATTTCTTGCAAAAAATCTTTAAGAGATGACACGAGCAGCCCTACCAGCATTTGCCATGGTGGCCTAAACATTTTTATTTGGTCTTAAATTGTAGTTCAACATTTATTTCCTGTTACTTCTGGACCATGACGGTGGGCCAGCCTTCAACGTTTAACTGAGTGGAATATGTTGAATATGTTTTACCAAAATGTTGGCTATATGTTAAGGAGTTTTCAGTAGGTTGTGACAGTGCACTGCAACATGTTTGATTTCATTTATTTTGGTCTAATTTATTTTTATTTATCATATTAATATATGTTTAGTATGGTTTTGGAAGTGCGCTCCAACACATTTATTGATCTTGTTTATTGGTAAAATATTATTTGTTTTAAAGTTCAATAAATGGTCAATGAATAATCGTCAAAATAATCGTGATATCAATTATTGACCAAATAATCGTGATTATGATTTTTGCCATAATCGCACAGCCCTAACCTCAGGGTAACAAAGGCAAGAACACAAATCATGGGATATATCAGGAAGGGGCACAGAAATTCCCTGTACCTTCTCCTTCGTCATGTCTAGTAAACCGACAGAGTAGCGGTCGCAGTTGAGGTAGGCTCGGACTGTGTACAAGGCCTTGTGAAACTGTCGCTCAATGTCTGTCAGCTCTTCAAACACCTTGTTGGCAGACCACAGCAGCAGCTGGGGAGTACAGCACATATACAGCAGTCATGAAAAGCATTCGGTAATGCAGTTTTTACTGTTTTTTAGTAGAATGAAAATCCACTCACCTGTCCTTTACGAGTCTCACAGTTGTGGAGGTAACTGAGGTGGTAGATCTTCAAGTTCAAAGTTGCAATTTTCAGAAACTTTGAAAAAAGCTTAACGGACAATCAAGAGAAAGAAAAGCGATATAAAACCATTATAAAGACACACAAAAACACAATTTAACATTAACATTATACATATTCAAGCAATAAACAACTTAACGGGGACCTATCATGCAAAATGCACTTTTGTACGTCTTTTATACATGAATATGTGTCCCCGGTGTGTCAGGGAACTCACCAAGTGTCAGAAAACACAACCCTCTCTATTTTCCTCCATACCCAAATCTCTAAAAAAGGGGCTGCAACGGATCTGATACAGACTGATCCAGATTTGAACACTGTCCTGACGTCAGGACGGTGGTGCTACGGCTATTGGTCAATTCTCCACCTATCAGGGGAATGAGAGGTTGGGCCACGGCCGGCCATTGCTGCTCAAAAGCGCTGGAGACGCTGTAGTACATATGCCAGGCCTATAAGTGGCGCTGTAGTCTGCCACAAAAGCAGCGAAGAAGACTTCCCTTGCATGGTTGCCCTTCTATTTATTCTCCGCTGTGGCTCTTTTTCTCCTTCCCCGAGGCAAGCGTTTGCGCCTCCTGCTTTAAAACAAATGAATAATGACTCTATATAATCATATGTAAGGGATAATGATAACACCTTCATGCCGATCTAGATCCCTCCGCTTCGCGTTGGGCTCCTGATCAGCCTGTCGGTGTTCTTTTCCCCATAATGACCGCGTCGCTGCACATTATTCCGCTTATTAGATGGCCACATTCTCAACAAAGTAACAATATGACTCCCAATATTAATTGAAATGCTTTTATGGATTTAGAAAATGATTTGATTGATTTAAAAAATAGTTGTATGTATTGATTTAAATTGACATGCATCCGCTAAGAAAAATAGCCCGTTGTTACTGTTTGAACTAACGTAGCAACGGCAGGAACTGCTTCGATAGCGTTTTTGAGGAGCTTTTTGATTACAGATTTGAAAACATCGTTGCTTGCTTTAAAAGTAGCACAATTCATTATGTCAAACCTTGGAAAGTATCTAGATATCCCTGCCCTAATGCCAAAGTAACTGCCAACTCCCCTCTCCTGCAGGGGGGCGTGGTCAGTTGCAGCTCACAGAATCAGCCCCCTGCAAAAACAGGGCTGGAAAGAGCAAATAGAGCTAAATGAGGCATGGCTAAAATGCAGGATCTGTTTGGTATTTAGAAAAAAAAACTATATTTATATACTTTATATAGGTATGGCCCTACAATATATGTTTCAAATATAGCATGATAGGTCCACTTTAAAATGTCCCACCTGTCTAGATCTCTAATACTCTCTATAACTAATAGACTGACTAGATCGTAAGTAAAGTAAATAAGTAAATATATGTAAAGTTTTAAACTAACATTGCGCTACTGTAAAGCTACACTGAAAAAAAATATAAATGCAACACTTTTGTTTTTGCTCCCATTTTTCATGAGATGAACTCAAAGATCTAAAACATTTTCTATATACACAAAATAACCATTTCTCTCAAATATTGTTCACAAATCTGAAAAAATCTGTGATAGTGAGCACTTCTCCTTTGCCGAGATAATCCATCCCAACTCACAGGTGTGGCATATCAAGATGCTGATTAGACAGCATGATTATTGCACAGGTGTGCCTTAGGCTGGCCACAATAAAAGGCCACTCTAAAATGTTCAGTTTTATCACACAGCACAATGCCACAGATGTCACAAGTTTTGAGGGAGCGTGCAATTGGCATGCTGACAGCAGGAATGTCCACCAGAGCTGTTGCCCGTGAATTGAATGTTCATTTCTCTACCATAAGCCGTCTCCAAAGGCGTTTCAGAGAATTTGGCAGTACATCCAACCGGCCTCACAACCGCAGACCACGTGTAACCACACCAGCCCAGGACCTCCACATCCAGCATGTTCACCTCCAAGATCGTCTGAGACCAGCCACTCGGACAGCTGCTGCAACAATAGGTTTGCATAACCAAAGAATTTCTGCACAAACTGTCAGAAACCGTCTCAGGGAAGCTCATCTGCATGCTCATCGTCCTCATCGGGGTCTCGACCTGACTCCGGTTCGTTGTCGTAACCGACTTGAGTGGGCAAATGCTCACATTCGATGGCGTCTGGCACGTTGGAGAGGTGTTCTCTTCACGGATGAATCCCGGTTTTCACTGTTCAGGGCAGATGGCAGACAGCGTGTGTGGCGTTGTGTGGGTGAGCGGTTTTCTGATGTCAATGTTGTGAATCGAGTGGCCCATGGTGGTGGTGGGGTTATGGTATGGGCAGGCGTATGTTATGGACGACGAACACATGTGCATTTTATTGATGGCATTGTGAATGCACAGAGATACCGTGACGAGATCCTGAGGCCCATTGTTGTGCCATTCATCCACGACCATCACCTCATGTTGCAGCATGATAATGCACGGCCCCATGTTGAAAGGATCTGTACACAATTCCTGGAGGCTGAAAACATCCCAGTTCTTGCATGGCCAGCATACTCACCGGACATGTCACCCATTGAGCATGTTTGGGATGCTCTGGATCGGCGTATACGACAGCGTGTTCCAGTTCCTGCCAATATCCAGCAACTTCGCACAGCCATTGAAGAGGAGTGGACCAACATTCCACAGGCCACAATCAACAACCTGATGAACTCTATGCGAAGGAGATGTGTTGCACTGCGTGAGGCAAATGGTGGTCACACCAGATACTGACTGGTTTTCGGACCCACCCAGACCCCCCCCAATAAAGCAAAACTGCACGTTTCAGAGTGGCCTTTTATTGTGGCCAGCCTAAATGGTAAATGGTAAATGGACTGTACTTATATAGCGCTTTATCCAGTCTTTAAGACCCCTCAAAGCGCTTTACATACTACATGTCGTTCACCCATTCACACCCATTCATACAGAGCAGTGTATGTTACTCTAGGACCTAATATGCATACAAATTCACACACCGTTGGCCATGCCATCGGGAGCAACTCAGGGTTAAGTACCTTGCCCAAGGATACATCGACATGTTGACTGCATGGGCTGGGATCGAACCCACGACCTTCTGGTTGAAAGACGACACCTGTGCAATAATCATGCTGTCTAATCAGCATCTTGATATGCCACACCTGTGAGGTGGGATGGATTATCTCGGCAAAGGAGAAGTGCTCACTATCACAGATTTTTTCAGATTTGTGAACAATATTTGAGAGAAATGGTTATTTTGTGTATAGAAAATGTTTTAGATCTTTGAGTTCATCTCATGAAAAATGGGAGCAAAAACAAAAGTGTTGCATTTATATTTTTGTTCAGTGTACATTACTCAAAGCCTTATGTCAAAACTGAGGCACATAAAATGTGTGACTTAGTGTTTTTTTTCTTATGTGCAACAAGCCAAAAAAGTAAGAGTGATCTTGAAAAATTTAGATTTTCAAAAACGAAATGTATTTTTCATGTTCATTAAAAAGTCATGTTTTATTTAATGGTTTAAAAGGAAATCAAGATATTCAGGCAGATAGAAACCCTAGCAAATACATATATAAATACATTAACCGCTTTTTGAGCTTTTCCTTCTGAAGAACGTGCTATGGAAATATTGTAGTAAATATCTTGATTTCTGCTGCAGCTATTATATGCGACCAACCTGTTATTGTTGTGCTTATTTTGTTGTGTAATGTTAAGAACAGTAATTTGCCTGCTGTATATCTTAATATCTATATTGACAAGGCCTCTGTACATCACACTGATCTGCTTTAAGGTTATATTTGCTTTTGCTCACATCTTCATCCTCAGCAGTGAAGTGTGGTCCAGTGGTCTTGTTTAGAACCATGATCACAGCCACCAAGTCTTTGCCGTTGAGGATGGGCGAAGCCAGAATGGTCTGGGTCTTATATTCTGTGAGGTCGTCGACAAATGAGCTGAAGTGGGGGCTCTAAAAGACAGAAAATACATGTGTTAAGTTTACTGTTTAGAACAATACTAACAGGACTTAGAAGTGTCTAGTTCTTTAAATGCCACATGTTAGGTAGGTCTTACCATTTTGACCGAAACCAGGATAATTATTGTGCAGTTCCCTATATGGAACATTTATTTAATGAGTGCCAGTGCTAGATTTTTTTTTTATTATGAAACTGACGTTCAATTTTAAATGGGCATACTATATGTTCAGTCTGTATGATGTAAAGTAAAGTTGTTTTGATATGTTTCCTGCTGACTAAATGTCAGAGGTGTGTAATCCACAGCTAGAGCTGAGGCTGTTGGGATCTGGAAATAACTGGATCATGTCTGACAAGGGGATTTACAATCTCACTTCAACAAGTATAAATACTTGTACATTGATATTCATTAATTGATGTCCCTCTTACAAGGCACAGTGACTTTAATAAATAGGCATGCTTGCTACAAGATTAATATGTTATTGTAATGAAGAAAAACATTTATTTATTAGACAAAACCACAACATGTGGGAATTAACAATTGAAGGCTGTGGCCTCATCTGGTGGTTGTTTCATGAATAACACTGTGACAGACTCTTTTCCAAGTTTAGGAATTCTGTTAAACGTTGCATTTTTATCCTACTAACCTCTGTGACATCTTTCACATTAACAGTCTTCTTGGTCAGGGCCACATGTCCGATTATTCCCATGTCCATCGGATAGAAGATCTCAGAGTCCGGTGGCACCACACAGTCATCAAACTGTGCCTCTGTGCTGACATTGAACAGCCTTGTGGCCAGCTCCCCGATGCCGTTCCTCTGCCGGTACATGAACAAGCTGCAGCGGTCGGCGTGGATGAGTGCAGTGACTCTCTTCAGGATCTTGAACACAACCTTTTCCACGTTGATGTTCTCCTGCATGTCTTTGATCAGGTCATACATGATTTTGCTTTCTTCAACCTTGAAACAAAGTGAAAAACTACAATTGTTAGAATTTGGTTTCACTGGAGAAAATTAGGAACTTCGTAATACATACAAAATGTTTGTCAGAGGTTATATTGTATGAAAGTATATGTATGTGTGGTAACTGTGACACAACCTCTCCTAAATAAACAACTTGTAATAATTAAATGTACCTGAGCGAGCTCCTGGAACTGGCTGAAGTCAATCTGTGTGTCTGGGAGTCCTGACACCTTCGACATGGAGGCAGGGCTCATCTTCTTAGCAAAGTACTGTTTAGCAAATGAAGGGTTTTCCTTCAGGAAGTTTTCCACGTCTTCCTTCTGTGCACACATTGTTCTTCCTTCCTTCTCTCCTTCCAAATGTTCCTGTCTTCTCCCTCTTCAGAGTGACGGAGCTCCCGCTCGGTCCAACACTTCCCTGAGCGAGCTACTTCCAACTTCTCTGAACAGAAGCACAAGAAAAGAGAATAAGCAAAACAAAGCACTTCAATTCTGGTTTATCCAGATAATACCCTAAAGAAAACCAAATCTTACCCAGGTATTACACACAAAGGGGGGAAACAGAAGTGGACATATCCAAATGCAAGTATAATCCTCTCTGTTAGTGGGATGAGGGAACTGAGTGAGGGAGATCCCTAAGGAGAAGGCGGAGGGCTGAATCCAAACAATCCATCTGTCATCAGCAGATAGTGCTGAAGGTTAGCAGGGATCTGCCTCTGCTAAACTCATCAGCTGATCTTCTAGAAACGGATATGTGGGCCAAATTATCCTGCCTCCGGAGTGCATTCAATACCTTTTTAACATCCCTATTAGATCAAATAAATCAGCAACAAATTCCCTCTCCTAATTTTTGACTGCATTCTTGAGAGTATAATTTGGGTTGAATACAATTCCTTTACACATAATTAACCATTACAACAATCAGAGGTAACAATACAAGTAATCAGCAAACATAAAACATACAACAAAATGAAGTTGGAAAAAGGTAGAAAAGCAAAACAAAGAATAGTCCTTCAAACAAAAGCATGAAACTTAAATGTTTGTGCATATAATAAATCTTAGTGCTTTGTGCTTTGGGAAATGTAGCAACGTCTGTATTTCTGACATTTGCTAATAAATGAATGATAAATTATACATTTATGAGTACTTTTAGTATATCCAATATCTTGTTTGTGGTGTCTGTAGTATACTGTATGTGTCTCTCTCTCACACACATGCTGGTCTACCTATACACACTCTTTAAGTCCTTATTAAACAAGGCCTCCTCTGGCATAAGCCCTATTTAGTTAGGCCAATAGCTGATTATCTCAGTACCCCAACTCTCTCCCTTTCTCCATGTGCAATCTTTAATGCAGCCTACCTGCACAGCCTCTTTAATACGATACGATACAATACGATATTACTTTATTGTCAGATCAAGTCTGAAATTTGACTTGCGTCACAGCAGCTCCATTAAGTTTTTCCACATCAATGATTGTCATTACCATGTTTAGGAGATTCATGGTAAATAGTTTCCTGAGAAGGATGATAGAGTAAAGCCAGCTAGAAACTAGGCTGAAGGCACTAATGTAACATTATTGAGATTGTAGTGTCAGCATCAAACACAAACAAATTGACAGTGTGTTGTGCTTCTGTGATAGATGTAATCCTTCATTTAGGGAGGGAGAACCAGTCTATAATAAGATTCCATAAACACCAGATAATCTGCTTCCAATATAATAGACGGTAGCAACGTGTGTCTACTGTACACACGTTGTACGTAGTCCCAAACGATAGCTGAGGATTCTGGGTAGTGTCTTCTGCCATCCTAAACTCCGAAAAAATATTTGTTTGTAATATTGGCCTACAATAAAGGGGACATGATCAAATAGGAATATAATTATCTTTTAAATAATGTTAACTAAAGGGAACAATCTATTTGACACATGCTGAAGCTCTGGCCTTCCTTAAAAACGAACTAATGTAATAAAATTCACAGTTTTATTCAGGCGCGGTTCTAGGGGGGGGGGGGCAGGGGAGGCTAGTTCCCCCCTAACACTGACTTTGGACCCCCCTGTGGCCCCCCTAAAGAAGAAAAAAAAAGAGAAAAATAAGTTTATGATTAAACGATTTCTTGGCTGACGGAATAGGTGGAAGTAACGATATTTGTCATTCTAGTCGGACCCATTAGAGCAGGGGTCTCCAACACGTCGATCACGAGCTACCGGTATCTCGCAAGCCCTCAATAGCCCCCACTTTACAAATATGTTTTTGTTTTCTTAACGCAAGCCGTCATCGCCACGGAGGAGCACACAGCCTCTGTGAGCGAGCGAGACAGAAAGAGAGAGAGAGCTAGAGAGATCATACCTGTATCAATGTAATGTGTTGTAAAAAATAAAGAAATCATTCCAATGTGTACTATAGGACAGTAAAAAAAAAAAACAGTTTGAAAGGGGAGTGATTAGTGAAATATGCATAAATAAAAAGAAAGAATACTAATGGTAACATAAGATAAGAATAAACTAGTTTAAATTATTTGTTATTGGTTGTGATCATATTCTAAAGATGTTTTGATTATTGAAAAGTATACAGCTCTCTTTCATATGAGTGTTGAGAGCTGTAACCATAAATTCATTTTGTGCTCAAAGTGCACCAGATTGATGCATTTAACTTCATGCATGCCCCCGGACCCCCCTAGAGAAGGTTAGGTCCACCCCCAAATAAAGCAGGTTCAAATAATTAAATTGCATACATTTTCTTTTAGTAAACACTGAAAACGGGTCCCACAGACCCAAACAGCACACAAAGGTAAGTATATAATAATGTGTAATGAAACAAATACCAATAACTGTATTGCATTGTTTTCTTAGGTGTATGCACAGTTACTTCATACTGTTTTTGTCTTTTTCGTCCTGCATTTATTGTGCCCCCCTCAGGCCCAGCCTGGCCCAGCCTGGCCCCCCCAGTCAAATTGGTCTAGAACTGCCACTGGTTGTATTACACACAATGCACTGTTTTTTGAGAACAAAAATTCGTAACTAATGCCTACAATCTCTTACCACAAGGACCACAATGAGATTTGTAGATGTGTGATGTTATATTGATTTATATGCTTGATTATTGCATTTACACAGAATACTAAAACACTTATAAAATTAAATCAGCACCCTCTAGCTATTTTTCATTTTCCTAATGTTTCACTCATCAATAACTTGCTGTCTCTTGCTGATCTACTACAGTATAATATATTGACAGATGGAACAATAACGTTGAATTGTATTTGTTTCATTAAACATACCAAACATAAGGCCAAATCTAACTTGAAATAAGTGTTTTACGTCGCTTCTATTTAACCAATAAACGTAATACTAATAGTAAACACGTACTTGCTGCAATTCTGATATCCACCACAGGGTGGCAGCAGTCCCATATTGTTGAACCTGTACACATTGAAGCCCTCACATAGCCCTAGTCCATAAAAGAGGCTAGAACGTGACATTCAATATTATGCTTACATAAATTAACATGAGTTTGTAACTTACTACGAAGTAAGTGAGCAATGGTCAGTGCCTTTGACTTGAAAGATGTAAGCAATGAATGTGCATATCAACACTAAACAATGGATAAGGATATGTCTGAAGAATATATAAGTCAGATCTTCCTAATCATTTCAAGGCCCAAAAACGTACTTAGACAGTGGATGTTTGCACAGTCTCTGAATATGACAGGACTTAAATAGATGTAAATACAGTAGTCATGATGGTCAACAGATGGCTAATGGTTGTGAGCCAACCCGAGTTACCAGCCAATCAAATTCAGCTGATGATCATGACCTGATGCTTGGAGAATACTCTGTTGATGAAGCTACCCGTGGGGTGGGGTCACTAAAGATACAAATGTGTTCAAATACAAATCTATTTCAGGACATACAAGTATTAAAGTACTGAGCAGCCGAGTCAGTGAAAGAAAAAGATTGCCTGTCTGTATCCACACTGAGGTCACTGTTTACTACTAGTGCAGGGTGAGGCTGCACTTGTTACCTTAATATTTTGTGTTTTATGTACAACACTATTAGATTAAAAATCTCTATTGCAAAGATTATAAAAGAAGAAAAAGGCGATGACCGATATGCTATTATATGATATTTGTCACAATTCTCATGTCATGTCACATTTCTATGTCTAGGTTTGGGTGTTTTTGCTGTTCTCTGTCATATTTTCCTCCTGGGTTATTATCTGGTCCTTTTCCCAGTGTTTTTCCTCCTGTCGTTAGTTTCCCTGGTGTGTCTAGTTATCTGATTGTGTTCACCTGTGGCCCGTGTGTTTCTCCTCCCCTGCCCGGCTGTTTCTCGTCTTGTGATTACCCCTCCCTGTATTTAGTCTTGTCTCTTCCTGTGTTCAGTGTTGGTGCTTCTTTTGTTTGTGACCTAGTTCACCGTAGAGTGTTTTGTCTGTCCAAGTATAATTAAGTCCTTGAAATAAAGGTGTTATCAAGTGCTATCTGCGTTTGGGTCCTACCTGCTTCACTCTGCGTATCAGAAAGCACCAACCAAGAAATGGGCCCAGCAGATCCGTTCGAGCTTGAGTTATTGAATTTTTCCTTTTTTTTGGCTAACTGCTCGGATCGATGGAAGAGAGCACCCGGAGTTCAGCAGCGAGAGGCTGTGTTATCAGAGGCGCGCCAGTTGGCTAGAGAGAAACCAGGTTTGGTGAAATTCTTACCTGTCTGGATTTCAAAGATCCTCCCGGTGTGTGATTCCCTGCCTGCTAGCCCCAGGCATGCTAGCTCCCAATTCCCCAACCTGGTACCATACGCCTCGGTGGGTTCCGTCTGAAGTCAACCCATGCTTCTGCCCCAGTTCCTGCTCCTGGCCAGGAGTCGTATTCTGGAACTCGTCTGGCTTATGGAGGTCGACGGAGTATTCAGGCGGCTGCTAAGAGAAGGAGTCGCAAGGCCAGGCTAGCAGCCCCAGCAGCCATGGCTCCATGCTCCAGTACCGGCCCACACAGCCATGGTTCCGTGCTCCAGTACCATCCCACACAGCCATGGATCCGTGTTCCGGTTCCGTGCCCAGCAGCCATGGTTCCGGCTACAGAACCGGCCCACACAGCCATGGTCCCGGCCCCAGCAGCCATGGTTCCAGCCCTGGTTCCGGCCCCAGCAGCCATGGTTCCAGCCCTGGTTCCGGCCCCAGCAGCCATGGTTCGGGCTCCAGTACAGGCCCCAGCAACCATGGTTTCGGCTACAGAACCGGCCCACACAGCCATGGTTCCAGCCCCAGTCCTGGCCCCAGCAGCCATGGTTCCGGTCCCAGCAGCCATGGTTCCGGCTTCAGTACCGGCCCCAGTAGCCATGGTCCCGACTCCAGTTTCGGCTCCAGGACTGGCTCTCCAGCCGACGCCAACTCCCCGAGTCCTGTCGGCGTACCGGCCAACGCCAGCTCCCCGAGGCCTGTCGGCGTACCGGCCGACTCCAGCACCTCGTCTCCTGCTGGCTCCCCAGCCGACGCCAGCTCCCCGAGTCTTGTCGGCGTACCGGCCGACTCCAGCACCTCGTCTCCTGCTGGCTCCCCAGCCGACGCCAGCTCCCCGAGTCTTGTCGGCGTACCGGCCGACTCCAGCACCTCGTCTCCTGCTGGCTCCCCAGCCGACGCCAGCTCCCCGAGTCTTGTCGGCGTACCGGCCGACTCCAGCACCTCGTCTCCTGCTGGCTCTCCAGCCGACGCCAGCTCCCCGTGTCCTGTCGGCGTACCGACCGACACAAGTTCCTTCTCAAGACCCTTCTCAAGACCCATCTCAAGTCCTCTCTGAAGTCCCCTCTCAAGTCCCCTCTCGACTTCCCTCTCAAGTTCCTTCTCAAGTCCCCTCTCAAGTCTCCTCTCCAGTTCCCTCTCAAGTCTCCTCTCGAGTCACCCCTCAAGTCCCCTCTAGAGTCTCCTCTCGAGTTCCCTCTCAAGTTCCTACCCGAGTCCCCTCTCGAGTCCCCACTCAAGACACTTCTCAAGTCCCCTTTCAAGACACTTCTCAGGTCCCATCTCGAGTCTCTTCTCAAGTTCCCTCTCAAGTCCCCTCTCAGGTCCCATCTCGAGTCCTCTCTCAAGTTCCTACCCGAGTCACCTCTCGAGTCTCCTCTCGAGTTCCCTCTCGAGTCTCCTCTCGAGTTCCCTCTCGAGTCCCCTCAAGTCTCCTCTCGAGTCCCCTCTCAAGTCCCCTCTCGAGTTCCCTCTCAAGTCTCTACCCAAGTCACCTCTCAAGTCTCCTCTCAAGTCTCCTCTCGAGTCTCCTCTCAAGTTCCCTCTCAAGTCTCCTCTCAGGTCCCCTCTCGAGTCCCCTCAAGTCTCCTCTCGAGTCCCCTCTCAAGTCCCCTCTCGAGTTCCCTCTCAAGTCCCCTCTCCAGTTCCCTCTCAAGTCACCGCTCGAGTTCCCTCTCGAGTCACCTCTCGAGTCACCTCTCGAGTTCCCTCTCAAGCCCTCTCTCGAGTTCCCTCTCAAGCCCTCTCTCGAGTTCCCTCTCAAGCCCTCTCTCGAGTCCCCTCTCAAGCCCTCTCTCGAGTCCCCTCTCGAGTTCCCTATCGAGTCTCCTCTCGAGTCCCCTCTCGAGTCTCCTCTCGAGTCCCCTCTCGAGTCCCCTCTCAAGTCCCCTCTCGAGTTCCCTCTCAGGTCCCCTCTTGAGTTCCCTCTCAAGTCACCGCTCGAGTTCCCTCTCGAGTCGCCTCTCGAGTCACCTCTCGAGTCACCTCTCGAGTTCCCTCTCAAGCCCTCTCTCGAGTTCCCTCTCAAGCCCTCTCTCGAGTCCCCTCTCAAGCCCTCTCTCGAGTCCCCTCTCGAGTTCCCTATCGAGTCTCCTCTCGAGTCCCCTCTCGAGTCCCCTCTCAAGTTCCCTCTCAAGTCCCCTCTCAAGTCTCCTCTCAAGTCTCCTCTCAAGTTCCCTCTCAAGTCTCCTCTCGAGTTCCCTCTCAGGTCCCCTCTCGAGTCTCTTCTCGAGTCCCCTCTCAAGTCTCCTCTTGAGTCTCTTCTCGAGTCCCCTCTCAAGTCTCCTCTCGAGTTCCCTCTCAGGTCCCCTCTCAAGTCACCTCTCGAGTTCCCTCTCAGGTCCCCTCTCAAGTCACCTCTCGAGTTCCCTCTCAAGTCACCGCTCGAGTTCCCTCTCGAGTATCCTCTCGAGTTCCCTCTCAAGTTCCCTATCGAGTCACCTCTCGAGTTCCCTCTCGAGTCACCTCTCGAGTTCCCTCTCGAGTCACCTCTCGAGTTCCCTCTCGAGTCTCCTCTCGAGTTCCCTCTCAAGCCCTCTCTCTCGAGTTCCCCATCGAGTCCCATCTCAAGTCACCTCTCGAGTCTCCGATCAAGTTCCCTCTCAAGATTCCGATCAAGTCACCTCTCAAGTCAACTCTCAAGTTTCCTCTCGAGTTCCCTCTCAAGCCCTCTCTCGAGTTCCCACTCAAGTCCCTACTCAAGTGTCGTTGGAGATTCCGCTGGGGGTCCTGCCAACTCTATGTCCTGTGCCGTTGGAGGCCCTGCCGACTACTCTCCTGCCGGGGGTCCTGCCAACCCTGTGTCCTGTCCCGTTGGAGGCCCCGCCGACTACTCTTCTGCCGGGGGTCCTGCCAACCCTGTGTCCTGGGCCGTTGGAGGTCCCACCGACTGTTCTCCTGCCGGGGGTCCTGCCGGCCCTGTGTCCTGTCCCGTTGGGGGTCCCGCCGACTACTCTTCTACCGGGGGTCCTGCCAACCCTATGTCCTGTGCCGTTGGAGGTCCCGCCGACTACTCTTCCGCTGGGGGTCCTGCCAACTCCATGTCCTGTGCCGTTGGAGGTTCCGCCGACTGCTCTCCTGCCGGGGGTCCTGCCGGCCCTGTGTCCTCTTCCGTGGGGAATCTTGCCGACACCTGTCCCACCGGCTCCTGCCCGGCCTCCGGAGCTGTCCGGACTTCTCTTATCTTTCTTTCTTACAGTGCAGACGCTTTTATGCTTGCTCCTGCCTCTGCTTACTTTTTATGCTGATTTTCCTATTCTTATTCTCTGAAAACTTCGAGCAGCGGCTCCTGGACATTAACTTATCACTGGGACAGTTCATCCTCGTAAATAGACATTTTTGCGACGACCTCAGTCTTACAGTAGCGTGGCCTAGCAACAGCTAATGCCTGGTAGGCTACTGCATGCTATTTAGCTTAAGCTAGTTGGTAGCAAAATGCCTCCGTTCTCTACAGATGACTTCCACAAACGTATACAGAAGATAGCTGTGTTGGAAATGAAAATGCAACGGTTGGAAGTTAACGTGGAAGTGAATGGACTATGTCATGGGAATGACACCACTTTACCAGTGTTGCAAAATAATGGAGAAGGGTATGCTAACTCACAGCACAGTTTTCTACAGGCTCGCACTTACCTGTTAGCATCTGGCATCTGTTAGCATCTAGCTCTCCTGCTTACAAACGTTTAGCCATCCCTGCTTATACAAGTAGTAGTTTTAGTTGTCTGTGAACTGTGGAGGCCTACTCCCACCTGTCGAGTGCGGCTGTACTGAGGTGTTTTTCGGAACACAGACGGAGCGGCTCCACCTGTTGCTGCATGCGATCTGCGATTTACGGAGGCCTGCTCGTCGCGAAGAGACGGAGCGGCTCCACCTGTTTGCTGCCTGCGATCTGCGATCTACGGAGGCCTGCTCCCACCTGTATAATACGGCTGTGCTGGAGAGGTTTTTACCCCGGAGTCGTCGCGGAGAGACGGAGTGGATCCACGCTTCGGGCTTGGCCTGCTTCCACCGGGCGTGTGCTGCTGTGCGGAGGAGGATATTACCACCGCTGGGGCCTGCTTTCCACCTGTCCTGGTTCTGCTGTTGCAGAGGCCTGCTTTCACCCCGGGGATACCACGGAGGGACCGGAGCACTTCCACGCTGCTGTTTTCGCCTGTCCTTTGCTGCTGTGCTGATTTGCTCCAGGAACATCGCGGATACTGTGTGCTGGTCTGGGGAAATGGCCCATATCGGGATTCTGCTGTGCCTGTTAACTGTTTTGGACTATGAGAAGATCTCTATTCATTCTGAGAAGACTACTGGATTCAGGTCTGTTCTGCCACCCGCAGTGGGCATCCCCTGCAAAGGTTCGGATGTGTTGCTCAAACAATTACCGGTTGCCTTGTCACAGTCAATCTGCTCGACAAAATATGTTTGTCTTTTTTATTTTCCTGCGATGATGGTTCTTCAGGACTGCTTCTTAAGCTCTAATCACACTCTCGCAGACTTTTCCGGTGTTTCTAAATTAGATGACAATGTATTTGTGTCGTTTAAGAAGAAAATATGCCTGTTTTTGTTGTTGTTATTACTGTCAGGAAATGTACAACCTAACCCTGGTCCACCCAGTAGTAGTAGTCAGATCGCTACTCCTGTTGATTTTAAAGATAGGTCTGGGTTGGGTTTCATCCACTTGAATGTGCGCAGTCTGTTAGGCAAACTAGATTTTGTCCGTATCTGGGCAAAATCGACTGACGCTGACGTCATGGTCTTATCAGAAACATGGCTAAACAAATCTATTTTGGCCTCTGACATTGCCTTAAATGGTATTAATGTGTATCGTACCGACCGGCCTAATAAAGGTGGTGGCGTTGCCATTTATGTTAAGAATAAGTTCAGTGTAACCACATTAGTTTCCAAATCGATCAGTAAGCAATTTGAATTTTTAGCCATAAATATAGAAGTGGCAAAGGGTCAACAGGTCATGGTAGTCTGTTGTTACAGACCCCCTCAGCTGCCAAAGACTCCTTGTCTTCACTAGCAAATCTTTTATCACAACTAGACTACAAGGAAATAGTGCTAATTGGATATTTTAACTGGGACTGGTTAACTGCAGTGTCAGAGGATTTTAAAAACCTTTGTATCTCTTTAAATGTTACTCAGATTGTTGACAGTCCTACTCGCCCAAATATTAAGTCCCCTAATAAATCCTCCCTAATTGATCTCATTTTAACAAATGTTCCCCATAAATATTCATCTGTGGGAGTATTTGCAAATGATCTGAGCGATCACTGTGTTGTAGCCACAATTAGGGACACTAAGGTCCAAAAGGTTAAACCTCGCATTATCATTAAGAGAGACAAAAAAACATTTTGTTGAGCAGGGTTTTGTGCATGATCTGTTTGATTTTGATTGGGGTAAAATCGATCTGTGTGCTGATGTGGAAACCGCATGGTCTTATTTGTATCTTGGTTTTATGGAGGTCATTGATAGACATGCACCCCTGCGTACATTTAGAGTAAAGGGACGAGACAATCCTTGGTTTTCTGCTGAGCTGTCTAGTCTCCTTCATGAGAGAAACAAGGCCTGGGCAAAGGCTAGGCAATCAGGCTCAGAGGTAGAGTGGCTGCGTTTTAGGCAGCTAAGGAATAGCTTCACTTCAAATGTCAAAAGTGCAAAGTCGAAGTACTACTTGTCAGTTACCACTGAAAACCTAAATAATCCTAGGAAATTTTGGAAAGCAATAAAATCGATATCCACCGGTGAGATCCGTAATGAGCTACCTCCTTGCCTTACCACAGCATCTGGCACTATATCGGACAGGGCCACTATGTTAAATTGCTTTAATGAGCATTTTGTGTCCTGCGGTTCTAAGTTTGATTCTGTGGCTAACTCTGCTTCTGTGAACACCCCAATCCGTGACTCTGAACAATGTGGTCTGGAAAACCCTTTCAGTTTTACTCCTTTTACTGTCAATGTTGTTCATGAAGCCTTATCTAAGCTAGATCCTAAGAAACCGGCTGGCCCGGACAACGTAGAACCTTTCTTTTTAAAGATAGCTGCAGATTTTATTGCTCTTCCTCTTACTACTCTTTTTAACCTCTCCCTCAGCACAAATGCAATTCCAAAAGTATGGAAGTCAGCTTATGTATTGCCTTTACTAAAAGGAGGGGAGGCAACTATTTTAAATAACTATAGGCCAATCTCTAAATTGTCAGTTCTGGCGAAGGTGCTGGAATGCCTAGTGAGTGAACAGGTAAAGGAGTTTTTATGTAAAAATGATATCCTGTCTAAACATCAGTCAGGCTTCAGAAAACAATATAGCACCATCACTGCCACAATGAAAGTGGTGAATGACATTACGAGTATTTTAGACAATAAGCAGAGTTGTGCAGCTCTATTTATTGACCTTTCCAAAGCGTTTGATACCGTCGATCATCGCATCTTAAAGCAGAGGCTACTCAGTATCGGCATATCCAGCCATGCAGTGGGTTGGTTTGTGAACTACCTCTCTGAAAGGTCCCAATGTGTTCACTTTGATGGGCTGTCTTCTGAGTGGTTAAACATTGCTAATGGTGTTCCTCAAGGTTCTGTTTTAGGTCCACTTTTATTCTCCATATATATCAACAGTTTAGGTGAAAATGTGGATGATGCTACTTTACATTTTTATGCTGATGATACCGTGATGTATTGTGCAGGTCCCTCCATTAAGGAGGCTGGTGTTAAATTACAGGCTGTTTTTTAACATTATTCAGACTCAGCTTGCTGAACTTAAGCTTATTTTAAATGTTGATAAAACTAAGGTAATGCTCTTTTCTAAAGCTAAAAAGACACCAGAGCCTGTTTTGGATATTGTTACTATGCAAGGACAAGTACTTGAAGTGGTTACCAGTTATAAATACCTAGGTATCTGGCTTGATGATTGTCTTACTTTTAAACTTCATGTTTTGAAGCAAGGAAAAGGCTAGTCACTGTGACCTTTTTACCTGTGCTGGACTATGGTGATTTGATCTATATGAATGCACCTGCCCATTGCCTGGAAAAGTTAGATGCCGCCTATCACAGTGCCCTGAGATTTGTTACTAACTATAAAGCACTTACTCATCACTGTACCCTGTATGCCAAGGCAGGTCTGCCTTCACTAACTGTACGGAGGCTCAGTCATTGGTACATGTTCATTTACAAAGCCATGTTGGGTAAACTACCTTTTTATATCTGCTCTCTGATCTCTCGACGAATTGAAAGTACATATTGCCTGAGATCTCATGATGTTGTTTTATTAAATGTGCCAAGTGCTAGGACTGTCTTAGGGAAGAAAGCTTTTAGTTGTGCAGCTCCACTAAATTGGAACAGTCTGCAAACATGTTTAAAACTGAGCACTTTGGTTCCCCTGCATCATTTTAAAACTCGGCTGGGTGACATGCTGTTTGATACTCATGGTACCTGTCACTGTAAATAGAGTTTGTAAACTGTACATTATGTTGTATGTCATCCTTATTGTTGTTCTGTTGTTTTTATGTTACATGTGTAACTAATGTCCTGCAGGTCACCCTTGAAAAAGAGATCTTTTGATCTCAAGGGGCTTCACCTGGTTAAATAAAGGCTACAAACAAACAAACAGCTAGTTAGCAGCTACAAGGATTCCAAGGAACAGGAGGGCTGTGTACCGGGTAATAAATCTACAAGTGGTAGTCCTCCCTGGAACTCTCTGGGTGCAAAGCCTAACGGCCCGTCCACACAGCGGCGTGCGTTGAAGCTTCCAATGCTTCTGCCCATTCACTTTGAATGGGGTGACGTCACTTTTAGCCGAACTGCATCGTGGGAAGCGACGCGGAGCGTTGCTGGCGTGGCTCGCTGCAAAAGTTGAGCAATGTTCAACTTTTGACGCCTCGGCAGAAGCGTCAGCCAATCTAATCATATGCCAGTACAAGCTCTAGCCAATCAAACCGCTGCTTGTGTGTCAGGGGCGGGAGATTCATGTGATTGGTTGTTGGTCGAGTGTCAGACACGCCCGCCGGCAAGCGTCGGTGCACGCCGCTGTGTGGACGGGGCCGTAAGATTAAATCATTTCCATGGGATTTGGGAGGACGGATAACAGGCAGAGCCCAGCGCTCTGAAATCTGTGATACGACCGGCTCGCCTGCATTGTTATCACCCAGGAAGAGCGCCTCTTCAACCGCAATTCATACTAGGAAACAGCAGTGGACAGCTGCTAAAGGGAGAATTACAAACAATCCTCCTAAACCACCAAGTTAGCCAATCCAGAACAGAACTGTCTCTACTGACCATTCTGTTCATTTTATTGACAATTTTAACTTTTTCTGGGACCGCAGACATCTTTTCAAGGCAAATGGAGTTTGCCTGAACAAGTCAGGAGTGAAATTGTTTATCTCTAACATATTCAACTGCCTGCATTATCAATCTGTTCCCTCTGCCAAGGACAAGCGGCAAGAGGAATCAAAACAGGAGAAAGACACAACACATTGCGCAGAAAACCCTGAAGAATTATCACTGCACCCGCCTGAGGAATGTTCTGATTATGGGAGACACATGAAGGAGATACAGAGGGTTGGCACCGATTCCTTCCTGGAGTTCAAAGACCAAACTAAGGCGATACGCAGGGCTGGCACCATGTCCTTTACCCCCCGCTCCTCAACGACGCCCACCAAAATCACCGCAGAGACGCGCACCATCTCCCCCGTCTTCATCAC